CATATTTTAAATAGGCCATTACCCAAAGTTTGGTATTTAGCTAGTATGATGGTCTTCTATGAGGCCCAGGGCCTTTCTTGTTCAAGTCAATCACGACCCATTCCCATTTTTCTCTCTCCCTCGAGCGAAATCATTACCCAACATCGAATTGGGCTGGGATAGAGGAAATAGTGTTTAGCCCATTAAAAAAAAACAAATCAACAATTGGAAGTTTGTTTAAGTTTACCATTTTGTTGGGCTAACCTTTTTTATTTCACTCAGCCCACTCCTAAAACTAACCCAATTTATACTCCAGAGTTGTAAAAATAAAATTATTTTAGTTAAACTAAAATCATTTTCCTCAACAAAATGCAATTGAAATTTTTTATACATTTTTAAGTTTAAATATTAATTGAAATAATAACAGAGTGAGGAAATAACATACTAACTAATTTAATTTTGTTACATAACGAAAATGGAAGGCAGGAAATAACTCACTTTTATTTACTTTATTACATTTATTTTAATCTTGCACAAAACTTCAATTATTTAACTGATAAATTATACTTAAACTTAAAATATTTAATATTTTTTTTTGCAAATTATCATTTTATATAAATTTTAAGAACAGTTATAAACACCAATAATAACTATTAATATTATTACTAAAATAATATTATATTTTCCATATTTGAGCAAAATTTGAAAAAAAAAGAGAGAGAGGAGAATGTTACATCATCTATCTGCGTATTTGGTATTAAATTCAATGAGTCTATCTCCATTTACTTGTTTTACGATTATTTTTAATACCTCTATCTTGTATTTATTACTTTTGCTTTCTAATCTTACTTGAAAAATTATAATATTTGACATTGTATTATTTATCATAATTAATTTAAGATAGCTAATGCATCAGGTTTACTAGACATTGATATTTAGACATTTAATCATGCTAAAATTGAACCAAGAATTAAAGTAACTAAATTAATGTCTAAATTTGATGACCTGTAAATCTATATAACTCGTACATTAATTGCAATGTATAATTTATATGGGTTTCTCGTAAAAATTTGATCGATTTCGATTAAATTAGATATTTGAGTTCTAACCAAATTTAAATCACATATATTCTTTTTACTTAGGTTAACAAATGATTTTCAATCGAAAAATGCATGAGATTCGAGAATCACATAATCTCGAAAAAATGCAAACAACACGACTTAGAGTGCAGATTAATAATTGAAAGTACTATTTTTGGTATTTTTTATTAAGAAACGCAAAGTAAAGAAATCAGTAAAAGTGTCGAATCGAAAAGCAGTGCAGAATATTAAATTGCAGAGAAATGTAAAATGCGGAAACCTCAAATTTGCATTAAGTGTAAATGACAAGGAATCGAAATTGCGGAAATGTAAATAACAGGAAATTGAAATTGCAGAAATGTAAATGACAAGTATCTTAAACGCATAACCTTAACTTGCATAAAAGTAAATGACAAGAAATTGAAAGGACAAAAACTTAAAGTTGATAAACGTAAATTGAAATGAAAGTAAATTATCAGGGAAAGTAAAGAAAACGATAAAGATAATCAATGAAAACGAAAATCCAGAGCATTAGAAACTTCATGATGCGTCGTTCTCCTATAGACTGTTCACTTGCGCTTCTGTTGCCTCTGCCAATCCCCCCTTTTCCTTCACTGTTCGCTCTATTTATAGAGCACCATTTAGGTAACCTCTTAAGAGCAGTTAACAAAAACTACTACCACGATCCAATGCGCACATCCCTTAGTTCTACAGTTTAGAAAACTGCTTCCACATTCCATATACGTGTTTAACCGTTCCTCAATTTATAACTTAGTCATACTTTTGATAGTCATGTAGGTTGACCTTTCCCTTGATCTCGATTTCAAAATCTTCGAGAACTTTGAATCGCTCCCCTTAACCTTAACATTACACTTGATTCTAATTTCTCGATTTTTTCAACAATAGACATCAAATATTCTTCCTTCGATTTTCGATTCTAATTCTCGATTTATATGTGTTTCTATCTTGTGGTTACCGGATGTCTTCTAACTATTTTTTCGATTTATCAATTTTTTAACCAACCATATGGTCTTCAATTTTCTCCAACCATATGGTCTTCAATTTTCTCTTTCTTATTCTTTCGATTCTCGTATCGATTTTTTCTATAGTAGATATAGATATTTACTGTAATAAATACTAATTATCATACTCTAAAAAAAATAAAAAATTCCAGTGACTAAAAAATATTTAATGTAACTTTTACTTAACTCATTGTGATATGAAAATCATATATAAAAGAAATAAATATCACTAACTTATCCATTAACATATTACATCATTATATTAACATATTAACTAATTTTATTCATCCGAAAAACTAAAATGATTAACCAACATCATTCATCGAAAGACTAACATAATTGATGAATTTGATATTAAGATATTAATTTTTTTATTCAATACTTTTAGTACTAAACAAAATTGTTACACACTAAAAAATTCAACCTTAAATTTTTTAACTTATCATTATCTTTACATATTAATTTAATACAAGTGGACATTTAAATAAATTAAGCAATGTGCGCGTTACTTTATTAAAAGCATACAATAAATGAATCTCATCTAATCATATCTTAAAAGATCTTTAATGGGACCCATCGTAGTACTTTTACAATATTAAAAAGTATTGTATAACATTTATTTTATATATAAATAAGTATATATTTTTTAATTTTACAAAAGAACAAGTGCTGTTCCGAGACTCTCCATAGCGCTGGGGATTTCAAAACGGTTTAGTATAATGGGACGGTATTTTGAGTTCATCAGTCTATTTTGATGCATATGTTAAAGTTCGTCAATTCGATCGGTCATCCCGCATAATAGGGCTCATTAGTTGGCTACTCACCTAATTAATAAAAAAATATTTTTTTTATTATAATAAAATTAATTATAAAAATAATATATAAATTTAAAAATTTAAAAAAAAATTAAAATAGTTTTATTCTCACACAAAATATTTTCTATACTAAAACATAATTTTCTCTCTCCTGTTCTCCTTGTTAATCCTAAGCACTAATTATTTTTATCTTTACTACTTGAATTAAAAGTGTAAAAATTACTCAACCAAAAATAATATGAAGTTTTATCAAATAAAAAAGATATAAGTATTTAAAATTTTCAATATAAAAAATATAAATGTTATAAGTTGTAATGTTATATATATATTTGTTATTATTTATTATTACGTAAATTTTATTATTGTTCTAAATTATAATTTCTTAAAACAATGTATTGATTTATATTATTAAATTGAAATTATATATATATATATTAAATTATTGACATACAAATAATAATCTTATTATTAAATTTATTAAAAAAATTATTTTAAAAAGTAAATTATTTTTTTTTAATAATGACTGGTGAGTCCGATCACTACCTCTTGATGGGATGGACCAAGGTCTACGATCAGTCATAACTATAACTGCGTCGGTCCGTCCCACCCCACTTTTAACTAGCGGATCAAAACGGGATAGTCTGACCCATTTTGCCATCCTTATCCACGGGAAGTAACTCCCAATGAATTAATTAATTAACCTTGTGTTATTATTACATGATATTAACTTTGTTAATAACTAATTTCATTGGTTCAGTAAGATGACTATAAAACTCAAAGTCAGAGATTTTAAAAAAGTTAAATTAAATTACACTTGAATAAACAACAAATAACAATAAAAATAATTAATAATAAGAAAAAAATAAAAAATAGGAAAAAAATACAACTTAGTAGTGATTACTCTATAATAGTGTTGCCCTGTGGAAATTATCAGGGAACTTGTAGATTGGTTAAAAATGTTATTCAATTAAGTTGTTGACTCGGCATTGCCGTGTTGATTAATTTAGATTGATCCTCGTCTTCTTCGAATCAATATAACTTGCCAACATTTCACTTGTGTTGGTTCTCCTAAGAATGTATTATGTCTGAATGTCTCACTCCAATATAAAGTGTTGAATCGATATACTAATTTTATGTTTTGATATCTGTAGGGACTAAAAAATATCATTCTTAAATTTATAACATATCGTTATCTTTAAATATTAATTTAATAAAGTGACTATTTAAATAAAATAAAAAAAATGTCCGTGTTACTTTATTAGAAGTATAAGATAAATGATTATGGATTTAATCATTGAAAGATTTTAGAAAATCTTTAACAGAATCCTCTTTTTGAAATTGTGTCCATCCACTTTCACTCTTTTCAATTTAAGCACTTTTACAATATTTAAAAAATATGTATAACATTTATTTTATATATAAATAAACATATAATATTTTTTAACTTCATAAAAAAAGTGTTTCAGCAACCCGTTTTTCTATGTGAATAACTCCCGATTAATGTTTTGATTAAGCTTGTATTATCATGACATGATATTAACTTTGTTAATAATTAATTTCATTAGTTCAGCGAGATGACTATATATACAACTCAAATTGAGAGATTTTAAAAAATTAAATTCAATTTTATTTCAATAAACAATTATAATAATAAAAATAAGAAGATAATAATAATAATAATAATAATAAGATGGGAAAAAATGAATTATATAATTCAGTAGACTCTATGGTAGTGTTGTTATGTGGAAATTTTTAGGCAAGTTGTAGTTTCTAGATTATAATAATAATAATAATAAAATAGGAAAAAATGAACTATAGTATACTCGATACCAGTGTTGCTGGTTTGTAGATCGGTGATGATTTAAAATTTTAATTTATCACGATTTTATTTTTTAAAAACTTAAAAAAAAAAGACGAAGATATATATATAAACTACGTGAGATTCGCCAGCGTAACATAAGAGTTATACGTTGACTCGGTGTTGCCGTGTCGATGACTTAATATGGATTCTTGTCTTCCTCGAATCCATATAACTTGCCTAACATTGTTTAAAGAGGGTAGAAAACTCATTTGTGTTGGTTCTAAAAACAACATATTATCTCAGAATGTCTGAGTTTGATCCTAAGAAACCCTCCGTGCCCATATCGTATCCAATCAAGACCCTGAAGGAGCTGGAATCACGCTCCTACTTTGAGTCCTTTCACTACCCTTTTAACAAAGCTTCAGTTCCCATCGAAAGTGGGTATTCTGCATCATTACCTAATCGTAGAAGAATACTGGTGTGCCATGATATGGCTGGAGGGTATTTGGATGACAAGTGGGTCCAGGGAGGCTCTAATGCAGATGCCTATGCCATATGGCATTGGCATTTGATAGATGTGTTTGTTTACTTCTCTCACTATCTTGTCACTCTCCCTCCTCCTTCTTGGACTAATACAGCTCATCGTCATGGTGTTAAGGTTCTTATTTAACTACTGCTTGCTTATGCAACATTTTCACTTTGCCTTTGACTTGTCTAACTTTTGTTGTGATGGTTTTGTTTTATGTTAGTTCTTGAATTTTGTCAGGGTGAGGATTTTAAAGTGTTTTAGTAGCCTAACCATAAGGCGATTAGAAATTTGTCTTCTGGCTGCTGACATAAATTTGAACGTTGGATGGAGAACACCATATTTGTTTTTCATCAGAATTAGAATTTTATCTTATGTGTAATAAATAATTTCATTAAATATCATCACATATTACTGAAATGAAACTCTATATATGAGTGAAAACAACATTAACAACACTTTAGAACTTCCTCTAAATTTTATCCTTCCTTGCTTTGCTTTCTCATTTTTGTATAGTTTAAGGAAGTATCCATCCATTTATCAATTCTAAACGTGTCTATTGCCATTTTTATATAAACATTTTTTTCTTATCCAGATTAGCCTTTTTCTTTTTCTTTATTAATTAAATAAAAAATGAAAAATTTAATCAAAAACAATTTTCGTTTTCTATTTATTAACCGGTAGCAGTTATTAAGGTCAATCATAAGCTTCTAAAGTTGGTTTAGTTTAACTGATCAGAGATGTAGCACTTACTTTCTAATTATCTGTGGAAAAGCATGATGGTTTTTGGCGTTTGAATCCGTTCCTTAAATTATTTATTCCTAAATGTTTAACCAGGATAAGTTGATAATTCCATTGGATCACCATTATTCTGACTAGTTTCTAATTGAATAACTAAAGCAGTCTTTAACTTGAACTTTGTTTGTTGTAATTGTACCCTTAATCTCTTAGGTTTTGGGGACTTTTATCACCGAAGGTCGTGAGGGAACTGCTCTCTGTGATGAACTGCTTGCAACAAAGGAGTCTGCCCGAATGTATGCAGAACACTTGGCAGAGCTTGCTGTTAATTTAGGCTTTGATGGGTGGCTGGTAAACAAATTTTCATCTCTATTTGGCACTATTTGAGTTTAGTAAATATCTATTGATTATTTTTTCTTGCCTAAGTTGATAATTGGTTTTTGTTCACATTATGATATTTGTTGGAAATATTACTTTATTATCTTTTATTTAAATTAGGTATTAAGAGAATTTATTATCTTTTAAGAGAGAATATAAAAAGACATTAGGTTATTATTTTGATTTAGGTCATGTTATGATTGAGATATTATGAATATTTAATATTTTGTAATATTTTTACTCTATATATACATAGAGTACATGAATAGAAATATACACACATGATATATCGAAATACATATACACATAACCCTTCAAAAACCCAACAAATTGGTATCGAGCTTTGGTTTGACACAATGGAAGGAGAAAGAAACTTTTCACAAGTCGCTATTCCAGCTTTTGGTGGCGAAAGTTATGACTTATGGGTCTGTGAGAATGCAATCCTATCTTGAAGGATTGGATGTATGGGAAGCTGTAGAAGAAGATTATATTGTTGATCCACTACTCGAAAATCCCACTATAGCTCAAATGAAATCTCACGAGAGAAAGGAAAATGAGAAAGGCAAAAGCTAAATCATGTCTGCTTGCTTGGTGTTTCACAAATGATCCTCACCGGAATCATGACGCTAAAGTCACCCAAAGAAATTTGGGATTATTTGAAAGATCAATATGAAGGAGATGAGAAAATTCGAGGTATGAAAGTTCTAAACTTGATAAGGGAATTTGAGATACAAAAGATGCAAGAGTCTCGGACAATTAATGAATACTCAAACAAATTGTTAGGTATTGCTAACAAAATAAAATTGTTAGGCAAATAATTTTCTCGATTCTAGAATAGTTGAAAAAATTCTGGTAAGCTGTGCGGAGAGATATGAAGCATCAATTGTTTCATTGGAAAACACAAAAAATTTGTCTAATATTACTTTGGCGAAATGTTACATGCTTTACAAGCACAAGAGCAACGAAGATTGATGAGAGGAGATCATGCTCGCTAGTGAAGGTTCTTTATTATATCATGATGGAGGTTCTGTCCAAGCCAAGAACAACAAAGGTACAAAATCACGAGTATTTTCTCGTTTGTCCTTATTGCAAAAAAAATAATCACACACCCAACAAGTGTTGGTGGAGACTCGATGTGAAATGTCACAAATGTGGTCAATTGGGACATATAGAAAATATATGCAAATCACAACCAGAGGAAGTCGTTCAAGTTATAGAGGATAGAGAAGAAGAGGTACTTCTCCTTGCATCAACATGCTCTACAATCAACAAATCCACGAGGTTGGTTAATAGACAGCTGGTTGTACAAACCACATGACTCATGATCGAAAATTTTTCAAAGAGCTCAACGAATCACATATTTCTAAAGTGAGAATTGGTAATGGAGAAGAAATGAATGTGAAAGGTACAGGAACAATTGCAGTTAAAAGTCATTCGGGTATCAAATTGATTATTGATGTTTTATATGTTCCTGATATAAATCATAATTTGTTAAGTGTTGCTCAATTATTGGAGAAAAGTTATAAGGTATCTTTTGAACACAAACTTTGTGTGATTAAAGATACAAATAACTTAGAAATATTCAAAGTTCACATGAAAGAAAAAAGTTTCACTTTAGATTTGATGAAAGAAGAGATGATTACAAATGAAGATATAAAAGAAAAGTCAAAGAAAAAGCATGAAGAAGATTTCTTGAAGGAATTTCATGTTAAGGAGGAAAATAAAGATGTAGATGAAGAAACCGTTTTTAACGTCCATCAAAGAGTCAACATTACTACCATGAAGTTTAAAAGAAACAAAGGAGATGAAGTTCATAAAGGAAGAAATATGTTGATGAAGAAAGTGAAGAATGAAGATATGATCTCATACAAGAAAGAAGATAACAAGAAGTATAAACAAAAAAGGAGGAAAAAATATATCAAATTCAAATAAATAGATATTAAAGTAAGGAGGAATGTTGGAAATATTACTTTATTATCTTTTATTTAAATTAGGTATTAAGAGAATTTATTATCTTTTAAGAGAGAATGTAAAAAGACATTAGGTTATTATTTTGATTAGGTTATTATTTTGATTTAGGTTGTTATGATTGAGATATTATGAATATTTAATATTTTGTAATATTTTTACTCTATATATACATAGAGTACATGAATAGAAATATACACACATGATATATCAGAAATACATATACACATAACCTTTCCAAAACCCAACAATATTAATCAAGTGACACCACCTGCAAATATACTGCCACATTTGGGCTCATAAAACTGAAGTGGCATGAAGAGTTTCCGTCGCTTAAATAGACACAGAAAAATAAATAAATTTGGAAATTTAGTGGTTATGCTGTAAGTAAAGCTTGTAATAGTTTTTTTTTTTTATATAAAGGAAGTGTTTCATTGTCAGTTTCGTGAGTGGCCATTGATACTACGTAATTTAGAAATTTGACATCACGAAGTGAATCGTATTAGAAGCATCATGCATATATATACTAAAAATAGATGCATAATTAATCGTCTAGTAACTTGCAGCAATGCCTTTTCTATTATTCTTCCAATGATTCAAATACCAACACTCAATTGCAGTTGAATATGGAGGTAACATTGCCGCCAAAACAGATTTCTAATTTGAGAGAGTTTGTCAACCATTTATCATTAACAACACATTCTTCAGTCCCAGGATCACTAGTGATATGGTGAGCATTTGAATTCAAATCATTCTTGTGATGCTTTATCCGAAATGGAAGGTTCCAGCAATTGACTTTTATATCCTTGCTTCATAATACAGGTATGACAGTGTCACTATTAACGGTGATCTATGGTGGCAAAATGAACTAAATGAAAATAATAAACCTTTCTTTGATATATGTGATGGGATATTCACAAACTATTCATGGCAGGTATTGCTTATGTTCCTTTGGCATGATCTTTCAATACTGTTGTTGAGTCAATTCTTATTTCCTGTAGCTAATTTTATTATTATCAATATCATGTAGGAAGACTATCCAAGTCGATCTGCTTCTTTTGCTGGTGATAGAAAGTTTGACGTGTACATGGGGATTGATGTATTTGGAAGGGACACATATGGTGGTGGACAGTGGAATGTATGTGATCTGTGTACATACATTTTCATTAAGTTATGTTTTATTGTGCAGTTTCAAACTTATTTGGAATCCACAGTTCAATTGTCGTGAGTGGCACCTATAGTAGAACTGAATTTTGCCCATCACACTTGAATATGAATTGCATTATGTTTTAATGTTTGTGACATTGATTAATAGACATCATATCATACATGAACTGCATATTTTACAGAAGTCTATGCAATCTGTTCTTCAAAATGATTATTTTCTGACTTTCAGTAGACTACACTACAGCTCCCCAACCAAAAAAACTGAGAAAACACAAAAGCAGAAGTCCTAATTGCTATAGAACCCCAAATTATCACTATAAGAAAATTACACTTGTCAGATTTAACAGGCTAAGTAATAGATATTCTGTTATTTGAATTCAAGTTCATTAATAGGGAAATACTTATCCTTATTTATTATTTTGCTGAATAATCTAGAAATAGTAATAGTCCTAAGTTCGAACACATTGATTTCAGACTGAAATCGATATTATCATGGTGTTCTTTTTGACGTTTTAATCGCATTTCTAGAAGTTGATTTCCTGACTTTATATTATGGATATGCAAGACAAACGTTGCTCTTGATCTAATAAGAAAAGTTGATGTCTCTGCTGCAATCTTTGCTCCTGGATGGGTCTACGAGACTAAGCAAGAACCAGATTTTGAGATTGCACAGAATCGGTAATGTGTAGCTGCCAATATTTCCCTTTTTAATTCGATTTCACAAGTTTCACCAAAATGATGCATTACAATTTACTTAGAGATCATTAAAATTCTTGAAGTGAAAACAAAAGAGAATATGCAAATTGTTTAAAATAAGAAACTCATAATTGAGAAAACTTAGTCTTGTTCTTTTCATCCAATGTTGTTGCTACAAAATCTGAAACGGTTTCTTTCTGTTTCATCTGGGTGTTGATTGCGGATACCAAATTTATATGGTCTCATTTTCTTTTATGTTAATGGTGGAGTCGTCAACCTTAAATATGCTCACATTAGTGCCACAATCTTGGCCATGCAGTTGGTGGAGTCTGGTGGAAGAATCTTGGGGCACAGTGCGAAAGTATCTTAGAACACTGCCATTCTACTCAAATTTTGATCAGGTTAAGAACTGTAATTGTTCTCCCTTTCTATAGTGTTTCTTGCCTTCTCTACTTGAGTTTGTCTGTGTATGAACTTAGTCCATGTTGAATTTGACTAGGTTTCCTTTTTATTTGATTTCATAAAAAAATAATCTAAGAATAAAATGTGAATTCTGAGAGCCAAATGATGAATAGACAAGGTAATTTTAACATCATAGGGGAAGGAGTTTCCGTATTTCACCTTTAGGCTTTTGCTCAACCGAGTACAGAGAACTTTTGTTAAATTTAATGGCTTTAACTCCATCTCTAACTTGTTCCTTCTAAGGAATTCCCTTTGGCATACTTACTGGTATGTTAAATTTTTAGCTGAAACAATGCATTTTGGCCATGAGATTGATATGGGATTGGATATATTTTACAAGTTAATAGACTTGTAATAGGGAATATCCCTTTGCACGTCCTTTTTATGGTTTGATGATAGTATTTTGGTAATCAGATCATAATAGAGAAGCAATAGACTTTCAGATCAGACGCAGATGTATCCTTATTATTAAAATTTTGTCATTCTTTACTTTCAGGGACGCGGTTATCATATTTCAGTTGATGGAGACCAAATATCAGATGCTGCTTGGTGCAATATTTCTTTTCAAGGTGTTCAGGTATGCTCCTCACTAAGACATTTTCTATGTTGGCTCCTCAATTTACATTGATAAATGGAAGTGTTTAGGGTTTAACGTTATAATCCATCTCAAACAAAATGAGAAAAAAAGGAATTTACACACAATTTTGACCATATGACCTCTAGCTAGATTCAAAAGAGAACAACAACACTCTTAAAATTGAGAATACAAACACTAAGAAAATGACACAGCAGAAATTGCTTTACACTTTAAATGTCCTCTCTAAAACTACAAAAAAGCTATAAGAGAAAACATGAAAGAATTTGGAATGATTTTAAAAGAATCACCAAGCTTTTATAGGTTTCCTAGGGTAATAAAAAAAACTATACACGGCAAAATAGTTTAGTTTGCTCAATTCTAGCTAGTCTTATCACAAGTTTGTCAAAAAGTGCTGATATTTTAATTATCACAATTCTAACAAGTCTTATTAATATTATATTCATAAGTGGTTGTTTTAAAATAAAATTAATTAAAAATTATTATTTTATTAATAAATGAAATTGTTAAATGGATGTTTGTTGATAATGGGTTGTGAATCTATTTTTTTTCCTTTGTGAAAAACATAATATTTGTCCTTAGATAACTTTTTATTTATAATTCCACTTAAATTTAGTAGAATATAATTTTTTTAATTAGAAAAAAATTTGATTGAAACTATAATAATGTATACTTTTAAACTATAATAATGTATACTTAAAAGAACTACACAAATTTGAATAAATAAAAAATATAAGTGAATTTGTCAAAAGTCTACCACCAGATAATTCTTTTTAAAAAGAAAATCTTGAAACTTATCTAATGTGGGTCTTTTGAATTAGAAACTCTATCTAAACTTTCCTTTATACACTTTTAAGAAAGAAATTTATTCAACGTGAGATTTCTAAAAAAAAATGAATATTTCATGTATTCATAAGTACACTATTTTTTTTAATACTCTATTATTTTTCAAGTTGTCATAATACATTTAACCTCTGGATTTATTACTATTTATATATTCAATATTGACCATAATTTACAAATTAAGGACTGGTTTAGTAAAACTGACACGTAACAATAAGTAAAATATTGTAATCATTTGAGAATACTCCAATATTTATTCCAAATCTTCAGGTTCATCATATTGTTTCTTGTGAAATGCATGATTGAATGATAAACTTGTTTTCCTGTAATCAGATTCAATATATCATAGCCATTTTTGATAATCATGATGCCTGATTGGGTTCATGCATTATACTATTGGAGTACCACTGACTTTAATTATACCCTGACTCCAAATTTGTATGCAGCCACTCCTTGAGTTTGCTGATTCTACTGCAAATTCTCTTCAACTTCTTGTAGAGTAAGTGATACAAAATCCAATGTTTTATAATTTTCTTTAACGGGAAAGTCCTACAGCATGTATATATTGCATATTCATTTGATTCGAAGTACAGCTGGCGAAATTAACTCTGGTTCACTGCAGATAATTCAGAGTAGGTTCTAGATTATTTCCTTCTGTTACTGAATTTTGAGGGCCTATTTTGGTAACATGAGAATGAAAATATGATTAATTATCACATTTTGCTACTTTTATGTGTCCTGGAACTTATTTCTAGAGTTTGATGGTTGACCTGATAGTGTGTGCAAACACTTTTCGTATTGTTATTACTTTTTAGTTTTTTTTAGTATTACAACCTTCCCATGATTTTGTATGCCTTCTTTCTTTTCTGTTATATTTTAATTCAAGGTATTGAATTACCGATAAGATCTCTGTTGGGAAGTCTTAAATCCTGTCTTAATTCTTGGAGGATGACTTGTATATCTATTGGGAAATTTTGCTATTTTCAGTTGAACTCTCACAATCTTTAAGTACTTTTTGTCTTGCTTATAATGTAGCTTGAAGGAGGCATCATATAGTGGAGGGGGAAATATTACATTCAAAGGATCTCTTGAAAAGGATGCTTACTTCAAGAGGAGAATCTTTCAAGGAGAGTTCATTTTAAGCGAATTGCCTATCCACTTCTTTTATTCTGTAAGCTATCACCTCTATTAAAATTGTTTGAAAAACTGCACATCAATCTATCCTCAGATTTGATTACAAGCTTGCTTACTTTGGATTCACATTCAAAGTTTTATTAGATGTTAGAGTGACAAGGTTGAACTTTGGACCTTTGGGTCATTGATAAGTCTCTAATACTATGTCATGAACCAACTCCCAAAGGCAAATGCACCATGATTTTATACTTTTATATTTCAGTACATCAGTACAATAAAATTTCACTAAAAAATTAGTCTTATCTTTCTTAGGGAGCTGAATCTGGTTACTTATTTCAGGGAAGGGAAGTGGGGTATCTTTCCTTGGCCAATGGCATAGCGCACATGTAGACTAGTTCACCAAAATCATTATATCTTAACTTGATATTCCTAACATTGTCATCTTCTCTTAATGTAGTTGACACATGAAGTCTATGGCCAATGCAGGTGAAATCTGATGGCAATTCTTCTTTGGGAATCGTGCTTGAGTTCATTTCTACCATGAACAAATCGATGTCTATACTACTCACTTCCCATGGAATGGATCATCTGTCAAGCGCATTTAGCAAAATAGTCAGAACAAGTGAACAAAAGGGAAATGCCCCTGGATGGATCATACATGAAGGTACAATTGAAATGAATGGATACGTTCTGACTGAAATCCATGCTTTGTGCTATAGATCAAATGCTGCATCCAAAGAACTGGGACTGAAATCCAGACCATTAGGTCCTGATTATACTGTGGCTTCCTCGACTGATTATTTTGCGGTTCTTGGTCATGTCATAGTCAAGACTTCCAACTATAAGCCAGAGTTTCCAGTTTCTACATCCTGGCTAGTTGATGGTGAATTCATCAATTGGAACTCTGGTCCTCAGAATTCAAAGATCCTTAGTGTTAAAATCTCTTGGAAGCTGAAAGAAGGAAAGAAATTTGTATTTCTACACTACAATGTGTATGTGGAGAAACTGCCAAAGCTAGCAGATGGTAATCCAAGCACAACATTAGAACATGTGCAGGAGTATCTTGGAGTAGCACATGTAAACTGTTTCTATGTTTCTGAGCTCAACGTTCCTCCTAGAATTTCTAGTCTCAAATTTATCATACAAGTCTGCGGTTTTGATGGGACAAATCAGAATATAGAAGAGTGTCCATTCTATCAATTGGAGATAAAAGGTCAATAAATTGTCACTATGGAACTATACATACTGTATTTTGGATTCGGCATTGCATGCCATTGTCTGCAATAAGGAATAACTTAGCATAATTTGCTACTTTCTAGTTCATAATTTCTATACAAATAACAGGGTATAATAAGTGTCCTTAGACATTCAATTCCAATGGAACTATGACCCCAAATGCTTGTTTAGTCAGACAGTGTGTGCATCTTCCAGTTATAAAACATAGACAATCATGAATTAGTGTTCTAAAGATACTTGTTACTGAATAAAAAGTGAATTTTATTCATTAAAACATAACTAAAAAATCCAAATTAATTTCTGATAAAAACTTTCCATTATTATTTAATTAATTGCCCAGAATCTAGACCAATGTTGGCAAGACTCAAAACACTATTATCCTACAACTTTAAACTTTGTGTAACATAGCATACCACACGTCTAGAATTAGGGTAACAATGGTTTCCTAAAGATTAGAAAACAGTAACTATGAGATTCAATGCTCCAAGCTGCACAATTTTAAACATTTGAATTTACACCAGACCGTTTTTGTTTGTAGTGTATGCAAGTGTCGGCCCTGCAAAAATAATTAATAGGTATAAGGATAGCTTCAAGTTGAATGTATAGCCCTTTTTTTGCATAATGTTAAATTGTTTGGTGCCAGAAAATCTTACTTTGACTTAAATAAGTGAAGGAATAAAAAACAAAGTCAAAGATAAGGTAACTGGGGAGGGTAGGTTAGTGGCATCTGAATTCCAGAACAAAACTTCTTTTGGAAGTATTGTCCTCGAGCCCTCAAAATATAGTTCTGGTGCCCACTATCATTTTTTTTATCAGTTCACTATCATTTCTTTGGCTCCACAAAGAGGAAGAATTTCATATTTACACAGATTTATCATTTACTGTGTATTTAAATTCGTATTAATGTTGTTATATTCAACTGTTGTCATATATAATAGAGCATCTTTTAACTCCTACTACAATTTTGTCCATCTAATCCCATGAATAATGAAAAATTCAAATTTCAAAGTTCACAAACAATGTCTAGAACGAGAGTTGCATTTTCTCTGATGTTTTTATTATAAGGCTTCATATGTAATTGTTTGTTTGAACTAGTTAAAAATTACTCAAAAAATAATTTTAAAACAAATAATTAAGTGACAGTCTAATTCTTGTTTACGTTATCTATGTATTAAAAATAAATTCTACTTTAGTGTTGAAACTAAATTACTTCAAGCAAATATTAGGTTTCATTGTTCTAATAAAGCTTTTTTTCACATGCGTCACTAATAATTGAACTTAATTAAGATCCTTAAGGGACCCAAAGCCAACAGATTTTACTTTAAAACTATTTACACTAAATAAAGTGTTTAGCCAAAATCATGTGTTTAACTTTTAATCAGTAACTCAATCATTGAATGTACCATGTGTTTTTTTTTTTTTTAATAATCAATATAAGTTTAGAATTGATTCTGAATTAAAACAATATCAAGAAGTTTTATATTAGATAAAAGAGGTCTATCAGGTTTTAATACAAAATTATTTTTATAATGAAATATATAAATATAAATTATGTCACTTTAAAATTAATTTTAAACAAATCAATTTAATTGAAAATCAGTTTTTTCATTTCCTCTCTTTGGAAATCTAAACTATATATTATGTCTGACTTCTAATAATAGACAGTGTAAAGTCATCGTATGTCGTGATTTTTTTTATCCTGCATCTTTATTCATGTAAATTTATAAGAAAAATAAAATAAATAATATAAAAAAAGAAGAAGAAATAGAGTAAATCATTAATTTAATCTTAAAAATCATAGTGAATAATTAAATAGATCTTTAAAATAAAAAAATCTATAAAATATTAATTTTTTAAATGATAACAGATGATTAACTTAGTCATTCAAGTTAAAGAAAATTTGAAATAATTTAAGTTTTTCTCTAAAATAAAAATAATTCTTAAATTTTTATGTCACTAATCAATTTAGCATATTTGATATTTGGAGGTGATATTTAATTATGTAAAAAAATAATTTGAAGTGGGATATATGTAAGGAACAACTGAAAGAATTATATAATTTTTAATAATTAAAGTTAATTTTCTATTTAAGTTAAGTAATTTGTTTAATATAATTAATTTTGTTTAGATGTTATAAATAATAAATTTTTTCATAAAAAATAGTATATATATATGAAACAAAAAAACTAATAGAAAATAATCCTAGGCTAAAATTTTAGATTCATGCTATAACTTCTTATGAAAATAATTACGACACCGATCAAGGGCATGTACTTCTCCTATAGGTGCTTTCTTTTAAAAATAAAAGTACCTCAACTACCATTTTACTTTAAAAAAGTTAGTATTATCCACGTGTTTTAATTTCAATTTTTAAATAGAAAAAGTTAGTTGAATTTCACTACTTGCTGATTCCTTTTTATTTATACCTTTTTAAAAAACTAAACCTTATATATTTGTTATTTATTTCACAAGTATATATCCCTAAGCTCAAATATACAGACCATCTAAACATTCTCGTATAACACAAGAAAAATAAAAAAACTCAATTAAATTGTGAAATATAATATATTGAATGTTAAGTTATTCTTTTTAAATAAATAAAAAAATCTGTTTTAGTCATACATCTATTGTCCTAAAAAAAATTATATGCGTGCTTAATGAAAATATATTGTCTAGATAAAAATATTATTTTAAAAAAAGAAAAATATTAATATGTTATTATTTAAAAATTAATTGAATTTTTAAATATTATATTTGTATAATTTAACAATTTCTATTTAAATTGGACTTTTGTACATAGACCAAATAAAAATTTTAAATTTTAAATATTAATAATAAATTATGATTAATCATCTCAAAGTTATATTATACATTTTACATTTTATTTCCCATTATTGAAATAGGATATTTTTATATTTTTTTCTCCTACTCCATCTTTAATTTGTATCATATGTTGAATGAGTTTATACATTAGACTAAATAGACTTTTCTTTTTATTAATTATTCATTTATAATAGTTTTTTAATTAAAAAATAACATTTTAAATTTACTGAATAAGTTTGAAATAATTCACAATTCATGTTTAATTCATTTAAATTTAACATAAGTTTTAAATTAAACTAATATTTTTTATTTTATTTAGATAATTTTTATAATTTTTTTACTATTAAAATTACAAAAATATTTTTAAAAATATTAAATATTTATAATAAAAATTATCAAATTTATAATTATTATTATTAATATTTTTAATTTGTTATATATTTTTAAATAAATTATATAATTTTAAAACTAAATATTACAATACAAAATTATTATAATATTTTAATAAATTTAAATATATTTTGGCTAAAATACCGTTAACTTATAAAATATTGTGGAGAGACAGAAATGTTATTCATCAATTAATAATGATTTTAAATTATATAATATTATATTAAATATAATATAGAATTTAATTTAATTTGATTAAATCTTATTCTTAATTTAAAATTTAAACTAAATTATGTTGTATAAAAATAAATGAATGTAAAAAGTTAAGAAGAATCTTCAAAATAAATAAAAAATTATAAATTTTTATGATATTATTTATTGTAAAAATAAGTTTAAAAAAACTCAAATATTATATAATCAATTCCTAATTGATTATGATGTCATAATTGATTCAGAAAATAATTTGAAAATGAAAAATTGTTATGTATACAGTATATGGGTTATATTTTGTAACATTTATTATTATTTTTGAATAATGAAAAAATTTTAATTTTTGTTTTAATTTCTCTTTTCCTTTTTTTTTTTCTAATTCTAATCACTCTCTTTTATTTTCTTTTATCTTTTTCTTCCATTATATGTTCCCAAACTAACAGATTGAGTAAACATAAATTATGACATACAATAAGGATTTAAAAATACAATATTTTTAAAGATTTTAAAAAAGATTGGATTCTTTCCAGCTAAACGATTCCTATCCAACACTTATTGCAGTTAAAGAAACAAGGATGCTTCTAGTGAGAAAAAACAAAACATTTTGATGTATATTTGAGATATATTTTTTCTTTCGGGATTGTGAGGTAGCTTCTGTATATAAAATTACGAGAATGTCTGCCATTTTTATAAGCCACCACTTACTTTGTCCTTACTTGTTGCTTTAACTATTTTAACAGAAAAACAACTTTATTAAATGCTAGGGTCAACCTTTGAAATGACAGAGAAAGAAATTGATATATGTATGAAATAATTTTTTTCTCACTGCAAGAAATAATGTGAACAATTTTTATTCCAGAAATAATGTCATCGTCAAAGAGGACTGGGAGAATGGTGAATTACATTACTAGGAGTGTTAAAGTCAGGAATCTGAGAGAGGTTATTCTGAAGAAGGTAAGACTTGTGATGTAAATCAGTTTCTGAGGGTGGCATCAGTGACTCGTGATTCATCTGGACGCAGAGGATCTCTGCTTGAGCAACTGCAAGCTGCATTTGAAGCTCAGAAACTTGATTTTGCAAGTAGGATATGGCGCCAACACAGCCATACACAGGGTCTCTCATTCTTGCACTTGCCTCATACACTAGACTACTCACTGCATCTGCTCTCTGATGAACTGGAAGTTCCTGAAACATTGTGAGGAACAGCCATTTAGAACTCCCTCACTAACAAGCCTGAAAAGCCATTCCTGACAAAGAAGACAAAATAGAAAAGAAAGAAAGAAATACCTGCAACATTTTGCTGACATTGCTAGCACCAAAAATCTTGTGAACTATAACAAACTTTTGAGGATCATCAGAAGGAAAATAAGGAGCGAAGATGCAATCTTTTATACACCTGCGTCTTAGCAATTTACATGAGGCACAAGGGGAATTTCCACCCATTTCTTTAAAAATTTTGAAAACAAAGAAAACTGAAAAATAAAAGAAATTGGTTGTGTTTGAAACTAGAAGGAGTAGAAAAGGAATAAACTGAAAACAGAGGAAGATAATAGACCGTCAAATTAAAAAGTTGCACATAATGAGATTAAGATTGAGAGCTTTGGTGTATTTATAATGGATACAGTGGTGGTGAATGGTAGAGCCTCATACTTACTAATTAAATCTACTGTAGTATATATATATATATATATATATATATATATATATATATATGTATGTATTATTAGTAGATTAATTACTAAAAAATTGTCTTTATTTTATAATTAAATAAAGATTAAGTGATTCACTGAATTCTTACCTATTAAAAATGCTGTAAATTTAGATCTTTAAATATATTTGAAACATTTATATTTAAACAAACATATAATCAAATAAAACAAAAACAACACACCGCGAACCGATGCACAATAAAAAAACTATATGTTTAGTAAGTAATAAATAAATATTGGCACTATAAATAAATTAAAATGATATATGTCACGAGAATAAATCAGAACATTATATGTTTATTTGATTTGATACACTTGACAAATTTGTCAATATTGTAGAGTAGAATTGATAGTTTGGAATTTAGGAAACTTGCGATATGATATTGCAATATTGAACATATTCTTTGTAAGTGTTTATATAAAAAAATTATTATAATTTAAAATTAATTTATACATAAATAGAAATAAACCTAAAAGCTATCTATACCTAAACCAACATTATTTTATTAAAATTTAATTATATATTTTTTAAAATACTATGAAGATGAATAATTTGGTATTATTCATATTATCTAAATAAATACATCTTAATTATTCGATTATTACTATGTATGTATAAGCAAATTTTATAAATAATTATCTTAAAAAAATCCAAATTTATGTTTATTGTAGAGAAATTTCATATAATTAATATATATAGATATATACGAGATTATATATATATATATATATATATATATATATATATAAATTAATCATAATTACTAATAATTTATTAAAATAATATTTTTTTCACCTATTCAAAGATTTACCATTTTTAAAATCATTACAGTAGCCTTCAAAAATACTACAATATAATGTACAAATTTCAATAATTAACAACTTTCTAATAATATTATTTTTATTCCTTGCAATTAACTAAGTATTTATCAAAGTCTACATGATATCAAAGCCACAACTTCAATCCCAATTACGTAACACGCTCATTCTATGTAACAGTATGCAAAAACATCAAAATATCAACTTTAATTTCAAATAGGTACTGCATCTGCACACTCATTCCACAAGTGGTGTATAGATTATAAAGGCTACAATTTTGATTTTTGATTTTGTATCAAATACTCATTCCTCAAAATAATATATAGAATATTGAAAGTCACAACTTTCATTATTATATAACTTAATACTAACACTTTATTTATAACATTATTTAATCATATCAATCTCACTTATATAATTATAAATACAAAATTGTTTTTATAATTAATAACTGATTTTTTTTTACAAATAATATGATTTTTAAATAAATACTTTCAAATTAATATCTTATTTTTTAAATAATATATACTTTGATATATATATATATATATATATATAATATTTTTTTATCATAAAATTATAATTTTTTTTCTAAACATATTTTAAGTTTGAATTAATAAAATAATATTTATTATAAAAAATTATGAAATATATTAAATTGTTTTTTTTTGTAATAAATTTTATACTTATCACACTCTATTAAAATAATATAAATTATATATAAACTATATATAAGAATGAATTGAAGAGAAAAAATAATTATTAAAATAATACTTATTTTTTTATATACGAATGGAAAATAAAATCTATGATTAAAAAGAAAAGTGGTAATTTTCTTATTGTCAAATCATATAAATATTTTTTTGTACTATTTTTTTGAATTAGTCAATAAATATTTGTGTCCTATTCTTTCATTGTTCACCAATTCAGGTGCTGCCTTTATGATATATTATAGTGACATTTTGCTAATATATTTAGCATATCATTCTCTCCACACTCATGCACTTCTAGGATATATACCATGGTTATGTGTAGTTATAGACTATTGAGTTGATGATTAAAATTTTGATTGGATAAATTTGTGTGGAAAACAATACAACAAAATCGTCAGAAAATAAGTGATTACTAATAAAAATTGTTGATGTATTACCCATAAAAATTGTCGATATATTTAGAGTAGTTGTGAAATTTGATCTTACCAACGATATATCCGTCGGTAAATGAATAATTAATTACCGACGGATATATCCGTCGATAAATCCATTTGTAAATGAATAATTAATTATCGACAGATATATTCATCGATAAATACATCGGTAAATTAATAATTTTGGATAAATTAGTTACTAACAGATATATCCATCGGTAATTATTTGTTCATTTACCGACAAATTTAAAGTATATTTTTAAAAATCAATATTAAATTAATAAAATTAAATATTTAAAATTATATAATAATTACTTAATTTTAAATATATTTTAATAAACACGACATACACTTTCACGGTCGAGTGTGCCCTCACATCCAACATATAAATATATAACTATATAAATATATATAAAGATATCAAAATATATAAATATATTTGTATTTATATATATAATTTGAAAAGAGTAAAAAGATATAATTTGAAATTTCAATTTTTCTTGTAAAAAGAGTAAGAAGATATAATGACATAAGTTTTGTATATAAATCAAAATTAATTTATCTAAAAGTTAATTATAAAGATATTATTTTTTAAAAATTGAAAATAATTTAAATTTATGAAAAAGAATAATAATTTGTTTTATATTTTTACTATCAATTAGAGATGTCAAAATAAACTTAATTCGATAGATTGGTTTGGAAAGTCTAAAACATAGGTCAGACTAGACAAAAAATAAAATTAATCTAAATTGAATAAGACTTATTTTAACCTTAATCTATTTAAGTCATAGTTTATAAACTTAGACTAAGTTAATCGATAAACTTATCATGTGTCGATTTTATAAAATAATAATTATTTTTTAAATAAAAATAACATTAATATTATTTTATATAAAAATATATATGTATTATAGTTAATTTTACATATATGCACTTAGTCTAAAAATAAATATCAAGATAATAAAATATAAATTTTTAATTTTTATTTTAATATTAAATTGATGCATTCTTCCATAATTTATATATAGTAAATCATTATATTTTAAATAAAAATAATTTTTTAAAAATAATTTATATTTTTTATTTTTATTTAAATATTTTTTAATTTGATTTTGTATAAATTTGTTAATTTTTTTTTATTTCACAGTCTATTTTTGGTTTATTTTAAAATATAACTTAAATTAAATAATCAATTTTTTTATTTGGGATTAGAATCAGGAATTAGACTACCCGTTTTCACATCTTTATTATTAACCTTTATTGAGAAATTTAATTAAATGGAGACCTTTAGTTTTATTAAAATAGTTTTAGATAATACCAAGGAAAAGGAAAACATTGATTAGAATGACGTTATACACATTCTTTTAATTATAGGACATAATTAATTGTCCTTCAGTTTAATTACAACACTTTTAGGAATGTTTAAGATGGCAAATGCAAAGATACATTCATTGTATGTATCTATAATTAATCTTCCACAAAATCAGTAACAGTCATGTATGAAATTTAAAACCTTGATTATATATTATGTGTGACAGATCAAGCCATAATTTGTCTAGTCGTTAATCATCCATCTTAATTACATTTTATTTTAAACTATAAAAATTTGGATAAATTTCTTTATAAATATTTTTATAACAATAAAATAAAAATGAAAAACTTCTCCATAAACTAAAATTAAGTTATACATAAATTAAAGATAACAATTTCAATATATTTTTTTTTACCAATTTATATATATATATATATATATAAATTAATTTCAATTAATGAAAAAATATTTTTAAATTTTTGTTTATGTTATCCAAACCTATTTTATGATGATAATTAAGTTGTGGATACTATGGCAGCCAAAGTTGGCACTTAGCTCTAGCTGGCAGAGGAAAACAAATTTGTGACTATATATAGTAAGCTGATTTGGGTCCCAATGGAGGGAAAGGGAGCAGAAACAACAACTATCACTCACACCCTGCCAAATAAAAGTTGTGGATTGTGACAGCCAAGTTGGCAATATCACACGTATTTGAAATTGAATTTGGGTGACCTACCTTGTTTAGTTGCGCTACACGGGACCCGGTCTCTACTAAGATATCTGAAGGTTTAACGTTCAACATATGAATGTTTGTTAGACACTATAACATATACGTAAAACACATCGTTCACGTGAATCCACACGTACCTGCTTATCAACTCACTAATCTTATCAACACCACTGGTTTTCACTACCAATAGCATACAGTGACAAGTGAATGACACCATAATACACAAATAGCAGCACAGATCAATATAATATATTTAAAATAAAGCATGACTTGACATTTAAAAAAAAATGTAATGTAAAATTTGACAGATAACACCGATTCTTTGCAAACTAAAAGGAAAAAGTTCTCAGAGCGGATCAGCATTTTTACTTGAAGAAAAAGGTTTCATATTGAAGATAGGTTCTTTCCTCGAAACTAGAGTCTATGCATGTATTTATGCCATATATTTATGTTTTTTTTTTAATCTTCTACATAAGGATCAATCATGTCATAATAATTATTGTTCCTGTTCCGTTAAAACGTGATGCATAATTATAATAATATTATTAAAATTAAATTTTTTAATTTAATAAAAATATTCAACATAATTTATATATATTTGTCTCTATAACAATAAAAAACAAAACCTTAAAATAATTAATATCTTAAATATAAAAAGAAACAAATCTTATGAATAGAACGTTTACTACTGCATCTTGTGACACGAACAACTTAGAAAATTAGCTG